ACAGTAAGTTCCCCTCAGACATACATTCATATAAACTCCTACACCTAAATGAATCGCGATTTGTTTAGCATCTCAACCGATTTGAATCGTCACATATTTGAATCGATTTTTAACCGGCTCGCAGTTAATCGTTACATCCCTATTTTTGTCTCTTCGCTCCGGCCGGGACACGGCATCACAGTATGGTAATGGGCGTAACATTTCCGTCACACGCTTGAGGTATTCAGCCAATCACAACGCACTGGATAGCTGGCCAATCAGAGCACACCTCGCTTTTCAGACCAATGAGCTTTGTAAAAATCGACGCGTTTCAGAAAGGCGGGGCATAGAGGAGAAACAATAATGTACAGTATGTGGAAAATAATGTGTTTTTTGAACCTTAAACCGCAAAAACTCATTTCATTACACCAAATAATGTTCTTTTTAGCACCATCATGACCCCTTTAAAATAGCCATTTTTGTCTTGATGTAAAGAACATTTTAACAAACCATTTTCCACTATAAATAACCTTTTGTGCAATGGAAAGTTTCCATGTATGTTAAACGTTCCTAATGAAACCATTGATATAGAACCTTTATTTTGAGAGTGTTGTCCACTTTGGCTGATAACACTAGAGCTAACTTTGTGCTAACTCAATTATATTTTCAATAAGAAACCAAGAATCAGCTTTAATAGACCTGCTCTGAAGGCTATTAAAATGCTAATTCCTATAAGTCCTGTTTTTCATCTCTCTCTCTCTCTCTCTCTCTATTTAAATGCATGACAATGAATATATTAATATTATTCAAATATTTGCAGACAGCTGCCATAGCACAGGTCTAATTTCAAAACCAGCAAAGCCGTGCATTAGCAAGGGTCTCAAAACTTATTGTGATTGTCAAAAGCTTTGTTAGCTAATGAGATCAGTGGTGAGATAAGACATATGTCAACCAGGGCTGCCCGTCCAAGCAGAGTGCATCAATAATGTACAAATACGGCCTGTGTAAGACGTAGGCTGGTAAACCCTCTGCTATTAGCCTAACCGCCAACCTTCCTCAACCACAAAGCATAGGTAAAAATCATTGGTATATCCAAGATTTTAATACATCAAGCTAAAGGAGAAGCATTTAACCTCTGGGATGGGAAAGCAGCAGCCTGTACACAATAAACAGCAGGATTAGAATGGATTCTGGTCTTAATATTGATGAAAAGAAATGGGGACATTAACTGAAGACGATAATGGATAACTTTATGAATGGAAATGGATTTTCCTTAAATGAGGATGACCTTCTGGCCATCTGGTTTCATTACAGTAAGGCACTGCACGAAATGACAACGGTAATTGTTCCGCCTGGGATAAAAACAGAACCAGTGCACTATAATCAAATAGTCCATAACCATGACTAAACGCTGAGGATTTCAGGCTGATGCAAATAAAATAAATTCACTGTATTACCCTGCATGCATGAAGTCCATTATAATTTGATTTCTGTCGAGCTGCTTTATAGCTGAATCAAATTTGTTGCAAAATTTATTAACTTTGCAACACTGACACAATCATTGAACTGAATTGTATCAGCATCGGACTCAATTGAGCTTAAATACACAACTGTCTTCTGTAGAGCTGTTTTATAGCTAAATTGAATTTGTTTCATAATTTATCAACTTTGCGATACCGAGACTGTTATTGAACAAAACTGAATAAACACTGAAATAAATTGAGCTGAATAATGACAACTGTATTTTGTAGAGATGCTTTACAGCTGAAATTGAAGTGATTTCATAAGTGATGAATTTTGTAACGGTGTTATTTTACTGTTCATTTCTGTGAAGCTGCTTGGACGACTGTATAAATAAATGTGACTTGACAAGGTATAAATACAAAGTACACACCTTTGCATTGGACTAATCTCTAGTCACTAATGAGCCTCATTAATAAGCATCTGGTCCATATATTACATAACAGCAGGGACATACTAAAGTGCAGCACGCTAGATTGGAGGGGACGTGGCCTATGGGAGAGAATAACAAACAGTCATTACTTACAGATGCTGGATGAAGCCAATTACTCCATGTATGGCAATTTCCATAACTAATGAATAAAAAAATATATATCAAGAAAACTGCAAAAGACATAGGTCAAAAATCATTCTTTTTCTTCTTATCCACAGCACAGTTTAGACAAAGGTGGATTAAAAACAAATCTCTCTTTGTTCAATTATATAAGACAGCAGTATCAATACTTATTATCACTCACAATATAGTTTATGGATTATCTGCTAGCAGACTTCAAGTCTTTTCGCTGCACCAATATAATATAGGGAAGAGTGGGATAAACTGTGCCACTTTAACTTACATTTCCCTCTAGGTGCGAAGAAATGATATTGAGGTAAACTAACATGTGACATTCAAATAATTTATAATAACATTTCTAGGAACCATATTAATTAAGCATCTGACACAATGAAAAATGCTTAGTTTAATAATTTAAATATTAAAGAATTTACATGGTTTTGTTTTGATAGACTGATAATTCACCAACATGTATGAAAAATATTTTAAGATCTGAATCTTTAGAGGTGACAAAATTCATGTAGAAATTTTACTTTGACATGTTAAAAAAGCTTTTTATCATAAAAATGCTTTTTACTTTCCTAATGCACATGTATCAAATCGCATGCAGGTGTATATGATGGCCACTTTCTAAATACACATGGCGAAAAAAAAACACAATAATACGTTTGCTAGACTAAATGGACAAAACTCTAACTTTTCTGATTATATATATATGTTATGTTTTAAATTTTATTTAAATTCTATGGATAATTCTATGGAATATTTCCACAAATCTCAATAGCGACTGATTTCAGCACTGGACAGCGACAAAGATCCACAATACACAGCAGCCAGGATACATTTACCAAGACAACAATTATATCCATCCACAAATCCCATGAATTTCTTCCTCAGGCTTTTATAGACACTTTTAACAGATGTTGAAAAATCTAAAGCATCTGGTCTACATTAAAATCTACTATGTCATCCTAAGAGACAAACATGATTCACTAAAAGCTCTTGCTGGAAAACACGACGGCATTATTGAAGTGCAGCAGCCATGACCATGGAAGCACAATAAGTATCTTTATGTAATGAGGCTAATCTACAGCAAAACATGCACCCAGCACTCATCCACAGATTGATATTATAGTGCCACTTCAGTTTGTGAGTGCATAGCCTCTGCTCTGTGCAGACTGCTCTCCAGTCATTTCAGTGGCTGGATCTTTAAAGCATGTGTCTAAGCCAGGCAAACAGGCCGTCATCTCTTTGGTAATTTATAGACAGCAGGTATCCACAGACATAATTCACTGGGTTTTTCCATGGCAGCTTTCCATGAGTGTCCGCCTGGATGTGAAAGCCCTGCTGCTCTCAGATCAATCAGTTATGGTGATAAAGCATCTCTGAGTTTCAATTACACTGAGTTTGCATCAAAAACTGCTGCTTAATGAAATAATATCATTCTGAGCCACTTTAACTAAAACAGCAGAAAAACAAAAAGCATTGTGATGGTATCAGATGATAAAACTGGTACTTTGAGATATGTCTCATTGTACTGAATTATTATATTTGCACAGGTACTTCAAAGAATGCCATGGTATTACCATGAATTCATTCCATGCCAGATTTAAGGTCATATTGGGTTTAAAACTGCAGAAGAAAAAAAGCTTGCATGTTTTCTTCTTATAAAGAACAACAAACAGCTGTTCCAGAATCTTACCACCCAGTGTGAGAAGATGGATATATCCTTCCTGACAGAGTTGCCTGAGGTACAACACAAACCCCAGCAGTCAATACCACATCTTTTACACTGTAGGGGGGCCAGATATTTTCTTCTTTTCATTAATATATGATCAAATAATGTGCTAAATGCCCTCAGTGTACTAGTTGTTCATGATTTGCACACCCAGCTGACAGTTTAATATTACGTATTTTTTATATTTATATTTTTGTATATGTACACTACTGTTCAACATTTTTGGGGTCAATATAACTTTTTTTTTTTTTTAAGAAACATGACAGGGTTTTTTTGTTTGTTTGTTTTATTTTAACACAGTGAACTTAATACTGAATCAGTGTGAATATCACATCCAGTCTTCCACAAAGACACAAACAAACAATAAATAAATAAAGAATGTGAACTACTTCCTGGGTTCCTTAAATTATATTAGCCTAAAAATAAATACTCGCATACTAAACAATACATTAAATGCGCATTAATGCATTAAAATGAAACAACATAGTAATATAAAACAACATAGTAACATAAAACAACATAGTCCCTATTGTCACAATTTTCCTCAGAATGTCATTCAAAACGCCAAGAAAAAAGTCCATAATCTCTTAGACGGTTTGTGCTGTCATTAGAAAAAGTCAAGTTCAAGTTAAATTTCCTTTTATGGGAATCCGGTTGTTCACATCCAGACTCAACAGCTTATTCTTATACTAAATAACATAACAAATCGTTTGAAATTAATTCGCGTTTACCTTAAGCCAGATAATGCGTCAGCATATCCAGGGAATGTTAAATTCATGCAGTGTTTATCACTATCATACACTCTGTCCCAGCATTAGCGTTCTGAGCGCGCTATCAAACACCCGGAACATACCATCACAACCTGAGAAAAAGGGGTGTGGGTCCAACCAAAACGAGACCTGACCTTAGCATACGAATGTGAAGGCTAAATACACGGATATGTTCCAAGAATCGACTGACAGTATGGAAAGATTACATATACATGATATTCAAGGATAAATTAACAGAAAGGGCCAGGAATAATTTCAAAAGGTCGCATATTTTCAAACATATGTGTGCAACAACAACAACAACTATTATTATTATTATTATTATTTATTTCATTTGATTTCAATTTGATTTAGACCAAATATTTTGTAACAAAATTGCATAGAAGTCAGACTGTTATTGTGAAAAGCGACTCGTCTACACTAACCCGGATATTGTTTATTTACTGGGTTTCAGCAGTAGAGGGCTGCAAATATCCTAGCTATTTAATGTACTTCTGCATGGTTGTATCCTGTAAAGTTGTAACTGGATTGTTTTTTGCTCTGTTTTTATTCTGCTGGCGGTGTCTTGAGCATTTCTTGGTGTTAACGAATGTTACCTTAGTGTTTGACCTTAATATAGACACACTTGCTAACAGGTACTGAATGCTTCTGCCTTTTTATATATTTACATAAGTTGACTCTTCCCATAATAGTATTTTGACCCGACTGTAGCATGTTAAACTGTTCTAAAATATGATTTCTTATGATTAAGTTGCCCAGGTTGAGTTATATGCATTAGTTATGCATATTGCATATGTATATTTATATTAGCCTACAAATTAATATAATGACTATTTATATTATTTTCATTATAGAATACCTTTTTTACACACACAAAAATATATCGCATATCTGTTCAGTAACTTTTTGGATAAGGTACTATGTCTGCCAGCGACCTCCTTACCAGAAAACAACGAGTGACCAAGTTTAGTATATGTGGGCAGCAGATTTTTGGGTTTCTATGCTCAGAATGCTTTCCAAGAATTAAGCAATATTTTTCTCTTTTTTTCCTCTATGTAGGCAGAAATCAATAACATGCACCATCATTTCTTGACAACTTTCTTATTGTGTTTCTGTGTTCAGGTGCTTTAACCAGGTGAATGTTGGGAGTTCGAGCCCTGTTTGGAATCGGTCTTCTTGTGACATCACGAGGAGGCTCTGTCCTGACCCATACAGGCGCATGTGCACATGTTGCCAGTAACATCTACAGTAAAGACCTCGCTCTCAGACAGGCATGCACTATGGCCAATACAATCAAGTACTTGGGGTGAGTGTAAAGGCACTGCACCCTCACTAACATTATTAGTATTGTTGCATGTCAGTCATCATTTGTCAGTGGTACAGTTAGTCCATAATATGATCAAACATTACTGTTGTGAATGTCAGTAATTGTCTTTCTGGCATTTGAGTTTTGCTTAAAAGGTTATTGTACTAATGGTGGACAAGATCTTAGCTCTGAAGCATTGTTATTTTTATCATTGTGATACTATTTTTAATTATATTTGTAATTAGTTTTTAAGTAACAAAAATTATTTTAGTTAACTATAGTAACCCTTCATTGAAGATTCGTTATATTGCATTGTTTGCTATTAAAATTTGATTAAAAAAATTTACTCACCCTCAGGCCATCCAAGATGTAGATGAGTTTGTTTCTTCATCAGAACAGATTTTGGGAAATTTAGCATAACATCTCTTGCTCACCAATGGATCCTCTGCAGTGAATGGGTGCCGTAAGAATGAGAGTCCAAACGGCTGATAAAAACATCTCAATAATCCACAAGTAATCCACACCACTCCAGCCAATCAATTAACATCTTGCATGTTTGTGAGAAACAAATCCATCAAGACATTTTAACTTTAAACGTTTCCAGTGAAAAGTTCTTTTGTCCTCTCACATCAAAATCCACTGACATATTTGTTTAGAACTGTTTTGGGCTGTTTGATCTGTGCATATTTCTGTCCTGATTCAGACAAGATGTCTTTTTCATTGGAGAAAGTAATATTATGGATAGAGGACTTTTATTTTAGCCAGAAGCAAAAGATTGAAGTTAAAAATCTCTTAATGATGAATCTGTTAAACACACAGATTTTGCTTCATAAGATGTTAATTGATGGACTGGAGTGGTGTGGATTACTTGTTGGATCATTGTGATGGTTTTTGTGGACTCTCATTCTGACGGCACCCATTCACTGCAGAGGATCCATTGGTGAGCAAGTGATGTAATGATACATTTCTCCAAATCTGTTCTGATGAAGAAACAAACTCATCTACATCTTGGATGACCTGAGGGTGCATATATTTTCAACCAATTTTGATATTTGGGTGAACTATTCCTTTTAAGTGATGTATGTATTCCCTTAGTTCCTGGCACAAACATAATGAATGTTTGTATTTAATCTTTCTTTCATAGGCAAGAAGAGGCTCAGCACATTGATGAGGAGCTGTTCAATGAGTACAGCTTCAGTGTGGATCAGTTAATGGAGCTGGCCGGTCTGAGCTGTGCCACAGCTGTGTCAAAGGTACATCTGATGCTCCATCAACATGCAGAAAGGATCAAATACAGCTATGTGGTGCATCATACTCATTAAAAGCAGTTTTTTGCTTCATAGGGCTATCCTCTACAATCACTGCTCAAGAGTCCACCTAGAGTTTTGGTGATCTGTGGGCCAGGAAATAATGGTGGAGATGGGTTGGTTTGTGCTCGACATCTCAGACTGTTTGTGAGTTCATTTTATAGCTGAAAATAACCTTGCTGCACCTGTTTAAAATCGTTCCTTCATTAAACCTAATATTTTATGAAGGTGTATTGACTTATGCACTCATATTGCATGTGAATCTCCCAGGGATATGAACCTTCAGTATTGTACCCAAAGCGCCCCAACAAACAGCTGTTCCAGAATCTTACCACCCAGTGTGAGAAGATGGATATATCCTTCCTGACAGAGTTGCCTGAGGTACAACACAAACCCCAGCAGTCAATACCACATCTTTTACACTGTAGGGGGGCCAGATATTTTCTTCTTTTCTTTAATATGTGATAAAATAATGTGCTAACTGCCCTCAGTGTACTAGTCGTTCATGATTTGCACACCCAGCTGACAGTTTAATATTACGTATTTTTTATATTTATATTTATATTTTTGTATATGTACACTACTGTTCAACATTTTTGGGGTCAATAGAATTATTTTTTTTAAAGAAATTAACTTTCTTATCCAACATGGATGCATTAAATTGCTCAAATGTGACTTTAAAGATTTACCCACAGAAATATGAAGCACCACAACTGTTTTCAACGTTGATAATAATAAGAAATGTTTCTTGAGCAGCAAATCAGCATATTAGAATGATTTCTGAAGGATCATGTGAGACTGGAGTAATGATGCTGAAAATTCAGGCTTTGCATCACAGGAATAAATTACATTTTAAAATATATTAAAATAGAAAACATTTATTTGAAATAGTTTTTACTGTCTTTTTGATCAAATAAATGCAGCCTTATAGTGAGCATTTCAAAAACATTAAAACATCTTACCAACCCCAAACCTTTGAACAGCAATGTATATATTTGATATGTGTAATAGTTGTGTATTTCCTCCTCATGCTGTCTTTAGGCTGTTGTGATTGATGAAGTGTATAATTTGGTGGTGGATGCCATCTTTGGATTCAGTTTTAAGGGTGCGGTGCGAGAGCCGTTCGGTGACATCCTCTCCCAACTAAAGAAAATCACTGTGCCCATTGCTAGTATTGACATACCTTCAGGTGAGAACACACACACATCACTAATTTAATTGCAATCCAAGCATTCAGTAGAAAAAATTTTTTTTGATTCGCATTTATGAGCCAAGAGCATTTTTTTATTGTATAAATTGCCTGGTAATAGTAAGTAAACTAGTTTATCATATATGTCTTCTGATTGTGACAAAGTATGTGTCATTTCTTTCACTCTTTAGGTTGGGATGTGGAGAACTGCTGTCCTGATGGGATTCAGCCTGACATGCTCATCTCCCTCACAGCCCCTAAGAAAGCAGCCAATCACTTCAAAGGACGCTACCACTTCCTGGGAGGAAGATTTGTTCCTCCTGCACTTGAGAAGAAGTTCCAGCTGAATCTGCCTCCATACCCAGACACTGATTGTGTGTATCAACTGAAGTGAGCATTAAGCCCTTCATGTCACTAATCAACAAAAAAACAAACACCATGGGTTATAACTTTGATTTACCACTCTGAATACTTCTTCCACTTTCATGTAATGGGCAGATATAGAATTGATTAATCATCATCAGTCAATAATTTGCGAAACTCCTTATTGCCAAGCATTGTTACCGAATGTTTCAAAGGAATCACTCTAATTAGTTATGTATGAATTTATAAAAACCTCTAATTAAAATAAATTTTAAAAATATATATTTAATTAAAGTTTTTGATGGTTATGGATTTAATGACTAAGCCTGAATAATTACGGCATTATTGTTTTGTGTTTAAATATATTAATGTTACATATTTACATATGGAAATGTGTAACATTTCAGATGGCATAAAAATAAAAAATACATAAATAAAGCTACTGTATGTTAATGAATATTTTTATAGACAAACAAGTCAGCACACACTTGAGCAGATGTGTAGAGAAAAGAAATTAAGTCCCACACGTTGATGTAGCTTGCGTAAAATTCCTTATATTTATTAAAACGACACTGTTTTTTGTGCCTGAAAAGGAAAACTTGAAATCGCATCATATGACCCCTTTAAGACTAAAATATTGCTGTTTCAGTTAATATAATGAATTTTGCAAGTGGCAGCATGCAGTGTACAGAGCTTCTTCCTGTTTCTATAATGAATATGAAATTATTTGCTTCCACGAAAGAACTCACCCTTTTGGAAAATAAACGATCCATAAGCCATAGATTCCTTCCATGAGAAATGTATAACTGTAAAAAGACATTCTACACTGTATATTTTCAAGGTATTATAGATTAGTACAAAATATTATTTACTCTGTTGTAAAGATTGAGGAGTTTATATTTTTATCTATAATTTATAGACCCGAAGTCTGTACTGAAATAGAAATTTTGTTCATTTCACACCATATAAATAGCTTTATAATACAGCACAACTTGTTTGTGTTTCATCCAAAGTAATTTACATTCATGTCTAGTCATAATTACCAAGAACACAACTTATTTTAATCTTACATTATCAGTTCCAATTGTTTACATCTTTTAAAAGTAAAAAACAAGCAACAAAACAATAACGCTAAAAAACGCTGGTCCCCTCTTTATTTTGCTCACTGATATGGCATCCAGTGAGGGTCAAGCATGAAGAAATGCCTCCATGCAGGTATGATGGGATCCATGTCACAGGTAAATGTCTTTGTTTTGCTCTTGATGCCTTTGTCTGGATGTTCATTCATCTGTTCAGGAGCTGTTACAGCAGGACCGTCTCTCCTCATTAAACTCGCTGGAGGGGCCCAGAGTCACTGCGCTGATCGAACCTCTGGTGACTTCTTTACTAGCAACCTTCTTGTGTATTGCTGATGGAGGAAACATAAATGAACATTGTCTTCATGCATTTAAAGTCAGATAAAGTCAAGAATATTTACTATATGTGACCCTGGACCACAAAACCAGTCATAAGGGTCAATTTTTCGAAATTGAGATTTATACATCATCTGAAAGCTGAATAAATAAGCTTTCCATTGATGGATAGGACAATATTTGGCCGAGATACAACTATTTGAAAATCTGGAATCTGAGGGTGCAAAAAAAATCAAAATATTGAGAAAATCGCCTTTAAATTTGTTCAAATTAAGTTCTTAGCAATGCATATTACTAATCAAAAATGAAGTTTTGATATATTTACAGTAGGAAATTTACAAAATATCTTTATGGAACATGATCTTTACTTAATATCCTAATGATTTTTGGCATAAAAAAAAAATCTATAATTTTTACCCATACAATGTATTTTTGGCTATTGCTACAAATATACCCCAGCGACTTAAGACTGGTTTTGTGCTCCAGGGTCACATATGTGCTATACATATACTAGTGGCCAAAAGTTTGGAATAATTAGGATTTTTAAATTATTTTGAAAGACGTCTCTTATGCTCAATAGGGCTGCATTTATTTGATTAAAAAAACGAACAGTAATATTGTGAAATATTATTACAATTTAAAATAACTGTTTCTATTTGAATATTTTTTGAAATGTAATTTATTCCTGTGAATTCAGCATCATTACTCCAGTCTTCAGTGTCACATGATCCTTCAGAAATCATTCTAATATGCTGATTTGCTGCTACTCAATTATTAATGATGCTTATTATCATCAGTGTTGAAAGCCGTTGTGCTGATTACTATTTTTGTGGAAACCATAGTTCATTGTTTTCAGGAATCTTTGATGAACAAGAAAGTTCAAAAGAACAGCATTTATTTTAAATAGAAACCTTTTGTAACATTATAAATGGTTCTACTGTCACCCTTGATTAATTTAATACATCCTTCCTAAAAATAAGTATTAATTGTTTTGTGTTTTTCATACTGACTCTAAAAATTTGAATGGTAGTGTAACATAGTTTCCATAAGAATATTAAGCAGCAAAAACTGTTTATGACATTGATAATAAGTTTCTTGCACAGCAAATCAGCTTATTAGAATGATTTCTGAAGGATCATGTGACTCTGAAGACTGGAGTAATGATGCTGAAAAATCAGTTTCGCATCACAAGAATAAACTACATTTTAACATTTTAAAATAGAAAGCAGTTCTTTTATTAATGTACGTTTTTATTACGTTTTGTTACGTTACGTTTATTACGTTCTTGTTTCACAATATCACTGTTTTTACTCTTGATCAAATAAATGCAGTCTTGGTGAGCATAAGAGATGACTTTATCTTTCAAAAGCAATAAAAAAATTCGTAATTAATCCAAACTCTTGGCTGCCAGCGTAAATCTCGTAAAATTTTGCTGTGCTTACGTTAATCAGTGACTTGAAGTAAAAAGAAAACTCACCTGTTAGAACTTCAAGGAAGGCAGATTCAACATTAGTTGACTCTAATGCAGAGGTCTCCATAAAAAGCAAGCCTTTGGTCTCTGTTTTATCAAATAAATAAACAATACTTTTAAAAATAAATGGTTAATCCGTTAACAACATATAAGATGAGTATGTCTTAATGAGTAGAAATTAATTGTTGCCATATGGCAACTCCGTACCATAGAGGGTTAAAGGCAAAGCTCATTCAAAAATGAAAATTCTTAAAGGGGTCATATGATGTTGCTAAAACAAATCTTCCCACATCGTGACGTAGATATGTGGGGGCGTGTTAGAACGAGCCGTTTTAGGTAGGCGTGGCTGACTCTAACTTTTATAAAGAATATCTCTTTGGATTTGAGACTTTAGTCTTTGCAACTTTACAGATCTTCTTTATGCACCAAGAGCTTGTAACACTCCAAAGAGAAAGGAAAACTTGAAATCGCATCATATGACCCCTTTAATGAAAATTCCTGTGTGACTTTCATTCTTCTGTGGAACACAAAAGGAGATATTTTGAAGAATCTAGACAATATTACACCCAACTGACTTTCATTGTATGTACCAAAAAAATAAAAAATATCAAAATATTGTTTTTTGTGTTCTGCAGAAAAAAGAAAGTCGGAACAACATGAGGGTGAGTAAATGATGACAATTTTGGTGAACTTTCTCTTTAAGGGTTCAAATGTCTGAAACAAAGAGTTATGAAATGCATTGACACCTGCAAAGACCTTAGCCTCCTCTGTTGGCACAGTGCGTACATTTAACAGGTCACTTTTATTTCCCACAAGCATGACTACTATATGAGGATCAGCATGGTCATACAGTTCCTTTAGCCATCGCTCAACGTTCTCATACGTCAGGTGCTTGGTGATGTCATAAACCAGCAGCGCACCCACGGCTCCCCTGTAATACCTACAAGAGACAAAAACTACTCATTATTACATATGCAGAAACAGGAAGTGGATATTGGCTCAGATCGTGCTTTATTATGATTCATTATTTTGTTTACGATGATGAGAAAGGTCCTTTTTTCATAATCATAACCTATCATATGATTGTATTCATCTACAATACCATTCAAAAGGTTGGGGTCAGTAAATATTTAAGTTAATACTTTTATTCAACAAGAATGTATTAAACTGATTAAAAGTGACAGTAAAGAAATGTATAATATAATAAAAAGTAAATTTCAAATAAAGCATGTTCTTTTGATCTTTCTATTCATCAAAGAATCCTGAAAAAAACGTACACAACAATATTAAACAAAACTATTTTCAATATTATTGATAATAATGAGAAATGTTTCTTGAGCAGCAAATCAGCATATTTCTGTAGGATCATGTGACATTGAAGACTGGAGTAGTGATGCTGAAAAAGCAGCTTTGTATCATAGGAGTAAATTACATTTTAAAATGACATTTTTTACATTTTAAATAATTATTATGTAAAATTACTAGTGCTGTCAGTCGATTAATTGCGATTAATCACATCCAAAGTAAATGTTTTTGTTTACATAATATATGTATGTTTGCTGTTTATATTTATTATGTATATATAAATACACACACAAGCATGTATATATTTCAGAAAAATATGTTATGTTTATATATTTGATATATTTATTTATAATATAAATTTTATGAATATAAACATAAACATGTAAATACATGTAAATATTTTCAAAATATATACTGTATGTGTGTGTATTTATATATACATAATAAATATACACAGAACACACATATTGTGCAATCAAAATGTTTTATTTTGTATGCGATTAATCGCGATTAATCATTTGACAGCACTACAAAATTACAAATTTAAAATATATTAAAATGGAAACTTATTTCAGGTTGTAGCAATATTTCACTGCATTGCTCTTTTTTTACTGTAATTTTGATCAAATAAATCAGCCTTGGTGAGCATAAGAGACATATACTTATAACTGTTTATACTTTTATACTGTTATACTTTTAACTGTTGCCCAGATTAAAAAAAGGAGTGGTTCTGGGTGTGATGCTCAATCGATCACTACAAATTCCACAGCCAGCATTATCTTAAATAAGGATTCATACATAGAACATACATAGATCAGATATATCCTTACACTCTAAAAAATGCTGGGTTAAATACAACCCAGTGCTGGGTAAAATAGGGACAAACCCAGCAATTGGGATGTTTTGACCCAGCGGTTGGGTTACTACCCAGAAGGTTGGGTTAAACTTTTAACCCAACCGCTGGGTCAAAACAACCCAATTGCTGGATTTGTCCCTATTTTACCCAGCACTGGGTTGTATTTAACCCAGCATTTTTTAGAGTGTACACACAGCGCCTTCACGACATGGCGGTGGCAACAACAATACTACAGCGAGAATAAAAGTTACGCCTTCTTTCTTTGCGTGAACATTTGGGCGGCGTTATGCAAATCTTCCCACATCGTGACGTAGATATGTG